GAGGTCACAAACACATAGGTACCTCTAGGGTCAGTGGAGGTCACTGGTGACTTACTGATCATGAATTTCGTTCCTTTGAATATATAAACAAATTTATCAGCTTCATTTCATAGCCTCAAACTTGGGAATGAACTGCAAACCTAAACATATGAATGAAGTACACTCTCAAACATAGGAATGAACTACACTCTCAAACATAGGAATGAACTACACTCTCAAACATAGGAATGAACTACACTCTCAAACATAGGAATGAACTACACTCTCAAACATAGGAATGAACTACACTCTCAAACATAGGAATGAACTACACTCTCAAACATATGATGATTGGACATTGAAAACAAAAATTAAATTTTGAATAGAAAGAATGATGGGAGAAGTATCCTGGACAATGGCATCACCCAACGACGTCAATCATGGCATCACCCAACGACGTAAATCATGGCATCACCCAACGATGTCAATCATGGCATCAACCCCTCCAGACTGCCAATGGACCTCCTCCTAGTTTGCTTTCGCTGGTGGCACCCCGTTTTTGTAGCTACATCACAGCATTTGATCTAGTATTCTTGTTGATCTGATCCTTATCAAATCAATCTTCATTTATTCCCAGAATGCTGTTCCTTTCATAAGCTTAGTTTTCACTTTCCTTGTAGCTATGTCACTTGTCTTCATCATGGTATTCTGTTTTTGCTACAATTTACTACAAACACTGGTGAACCTGTAGATCAGATCAGGTATGCAAAAGCTGTGCCCAGAGCAAACCAAAATTTAGGTGCCCTTCTTCCCAAAAAGTATGTATTAGTACCGGTACACAAATAAACATACCATATAGTATAATCAGGTATTAGAATCATCGCGGACGCCTTAACATGAAAATATTCACAAAGGCAATTTGATTATTGATTTTTGAAATAAATAAGTTACTAGTGGCAAAGACCAGCCGTCTAATGTATACATTACATCTGACAGTCCAGAAGAAAATATCGACGAATGCTTCGTAGAAATTGAAATGACGAAAAGCATTGCAAGCCATAACAATAGCAATTATCAGTGGTGATTTTAATGCTAAAGTTTGCAAAAGAAATGAATGAGTGGAACGGCTATAGTATACGTAACAGAAGGCTGGACATGGAAGAGACAATTATTCCTTTTAAAATTATTAAAAATGTATTCATAAATACAGTTACCGTATCAAGTCAGAACAGTGGTAACGACTACGAGCTGGTCTCACTCTGGTGTCACGACAAAGAAAGCATAAACTGGTGATAATGGCAAAGCACGGCCTTATGCTGATTTCACGGCCAAGCACAACCTGATGAGATGACGTCATTGTCTATGGTTCTTGTGGAATTGATGAGAGTTCATTTCTCAGATGAATAACTTGATATGACTAGTTTGCTTCTCTATATTCCAATTCCATTAGCAAAAGTTTCACTATGCTCAAGACCAAATTCAGAATTAAGTTACTGGGGAAATACTGGACTTCAGAACATCACTGTGTTAGGTAATAAATTATGTCTGTGCGCCTGTTAATGGTATTAGTGACATTATTAGGTTGAAATATCCATCTAATAAAAAAAACTATATAATTATAACATCTTTATGCGTTTCAGGTACCAAACAATTGACCCGAGGAATGCCAGCATTTGTTGCTGAGGTAGCAGACAAAACAATAGCGTCTGTGGGAAATGTTATACGCTTTTCAAGAGTGGCGTACAACAAAGAGGATTGCTTTAGTGCAGAAACAAGCACATTTAGGGCTCCGACTCCGGGGCTGTATTTTTTCAGTGTGTCACTGAACATAAACTCCAAAGGCTTACTAGCAGCTGCTATTTCTCATAATGGTAAAACTGTTGCCCTCTGCGGCACGCCTAATGGCATAGACTTCCAGGCGAGCACATCCGTTTTATTGGAACTTTCAGCTGAAGACAAAGTCTGGGTAGAAACATACAACATGACGTCCGAAGATGGTGTGGAAGTTGGGCCTGGATTTTCAAATTTTTTGGGTGTGCAGCTTAGGTGATGTCAACATAATCATGCGGCTTATGCGATATCAAAATATTGACGTGCCTTAGGCGATATCAAAATATTGACGTGCCTTAGGCGATATCAAAATATTGACGTGCCTTAGGCGATATCAAAATATTGACGTGCCTTAGGCGATATCAAAATATTGACGTGCCTTAGGCGATATCAAAATATTGACGTGCCTTAGGCGATATCAAAATATTGACGTGCCTTTGGCGATATCAAAATATTGACGTGCCTTAGGTGATGTCAAAATTATCTTGCAGTTTAGGTGATGTCAACATAATCATGCGGCTTAGGTAATGTCAAAATAATCTTGTGGCCTAGGTGATGTCAAAATAATGATGTAGCTTAGGTGATGTCAACATAATCATGTGGCTTAGGTGATGTCTACATTATGATATGTCCTAGGTGATGTCAACATAATGATGTGTCCTAGGTGATGTCAACAAAATGATGTGGCTTAGGTGATGTCAACATAATGATGCGGCTTAGGTGATGTCAACAAAATGATGTGTCCTAGGTGATGTCAACATAATGATGTGTCCTAGGTGATGTCTACATAATGATGTGGCTTAGGTGATGTCAACATAATGATGTGGCTTAGGTGATGTCAACATAATGATGTGGCTTAGGTGATGTCAACAAAATGATGTGGCTTAGGTGATGTCAACATAATGATGTGGCTTAGGTGATGTCAACATAATGATGTGGCTTAGGTGATGTCAACATAATGATGTGGCTTAGGTGATGTCAACAAAATGATGTGGCTTAGGTGATGTCAACATAATGATGTGTCCTAGGTGATGTCAACATAATGATGTGTCCTAGGTGATGTCAACATAATGATGTGGCTTAGGTGATGTCAACATAATGATGTGGCTTAGGTGATGTCAACAAAATGATGTGGCTTAGGTGATGTCAACATAATGATGTGTCCTAGGTGATGTCAACATAATGATGTGTCCTAGGTGATGTCAACATAATGATGTGGCTTAGGTGATGTCAACATAATGATGTGTCCTAGGTGATGTCAACATAATGATGCGGCTTAGGTGATGTCAACATAATGATGTGTCCTAGGTGATGTCAACATAATGATGTGTCCTAGGTGATGTCAACATAATGATGTGTCCTAGATGATGTCAACATAATGATGCAGTTTAGGTGATGTCAACAAAATGATGTTGCTTAGGTGATGTCAACATAATGATGCGGCTTAGGTGATGCCAACATAATGATGTGTCCTAGGTGATGTCAACATAACTATGTGCCCTCGGTGATATCAACATAATGATGCGGTCAGTGGCATAACTAGGATAAATGCAGGCATGGTGGGTCAAGATGTTGTCTGCCCCGTTCCACAAGACCTGTGTACCCGTACACAGATGTAGATTTAACTTATCTTTCATTGTAATATTAATTACCAATACATATAACGTAAATAAAATTTTTAAAAAAACTGTTGACTCATTTTTCCTATTGAAGAAGATTGAGAATTACAAGAATGATTAACAAGCAAAAACAAAGTTTGTTTGATGGTGACATTAGCGTTAAACTAATTTTTATTTAAAACAGACAACAAGTGGTAGAATTGTGTCATTTAAAACCTATCTTGGTAAATAAGACTTAAATTATATTTCATGGAAAGGTTTCATCAAATCAAAACAAACCATGAGAAAAGTAGGTCAATAAAAATAGTTTCATAAAAACTGACCATAATATTCAAAATTGTAACTATTTAAAAAGATATAATATTCAATATAATTCAACATTTAATTTACACTAGTTAGTAATTGTGCATGAACAAGTTACTATTTTTTATATTTCACATAATAACTAAAAATAAAATGTATATAATACAATAAATTTATAAACTCAAACTCTGGAAATTATTATCATTAAGTCTCAAATTTATAACACTATATGATGGACTGTGTTCAAGCCATGTGTAAGAAATAGTGGAACAAGATAAGTTTGGACTTGAAATGAAAAGACAAGGCAATCAAAAAGACATTTCACTTAGATGCCTTGTTCATCAGCAAAGACAAAACACAAAACGAGACCAGGATTTCCCACTATCAACTAAAATTATGTGTTCCGAAATATAAAAATGAGTGTCACATAATAGATATTAAACAACATGGAAAATTATTTATATTGACAGTATCAAATAATATCATAAAATACTCTTCATCCATCCATCCCTGTGGCGCTACACGGCTTTGGCCTGCCTCACCACTTTCTTCCACTCAGACCTAACTGATGCTTTTCTTTTCCATGCTTAGATTCCCAGCTGCTGTAATCTTTTTCCACATCATCCATCCATCTAAGCCTAGGTCTGCCTTTGAGTCGTTTTTCTCTGGGGTATTGGTGGTGCACCTTCCTCACTCCTCTGTCATTTAGCATTCTCTCTAAGTGTCCTGCCCAGCATAACCTGCCCTTTTTTTATTTCTGTTACTCGAGTGGGATCCTGACTATACAATTTCTGGTTGGTTCACATTCATCCTTTGTTGCTCCATATATTTTCCAGTGAACTTTTCTCTCCCATTTGTTTAATAGGTTCTCTGTCTTTTATGTTAGGATCCAAGTTTCACTTGCCTATGTTACGATTGGCCTGATTACAGTTTTAATTTTATAAATAGTTTTCTTCATTTTTCTTGTAATGTTTTTACTTTTGAGTATTTTCTGACTACTGAAGTATGCCCTGTTTCTGGCCAATATTCTTTCTTTTATTTCTAGAAGTAATTCATTTCTTTCATTTAATAAAGATCCTAGGTATTTGAATTGATTTACTTTTTCAAAAGTGTGGTTTCTAATTTTAATGGTTTCATCCGTCTGTTCTTCTCTTATCATAGTCAAGTATTTTCTTTTTTGGTTGTTAACTCCCAGCCCTGCTTGTAGTGACGCGTCTTCTAAGTCAATAAAGGCTTTTGATATGTCTTTAATACTAATACATGGCTATCATAAGAGAAGAACAGATAGATGAAACCATTAAAATTAGAAACCACATTAAAATACTATAATCTCATAAAATTACAAAGCACAAATAAAATGTGATGCTCAGTATTCATAAATAACAAATCTATTTTAAATTTATTTTTCATATAATCTTACACTTACACGCTGTTATTAAATATTAACAATTCATTTTTTATAAAAAAATAATTGAAAGTTTATAAAATGTGATAATAAAATACCTTTGAAAATCTACTCAATTACAGCATAATACCATATAATATAAATTAAAAAATATATTTATTGATAAGTGACCAGCACAATATTTAATATTTGATTCAGTAAAATTTGATGTAGAGCACAGAGTACATGTGAAAAGTGTGCACATTAATTCACATTTTAAAAGTTTAATTATAAAAATTGCAAAACATAAATATTGGTGCCAGGCTGTCGTTCATAATTTTTATGCAGATAGACAAAAATTAAACTCAAAGTTTAGGGAATATTTCGATGTGATCATCCAGGTATGGCTAATTAAAGATTTTATGGAGTGTGCACTTACAGTGATCTGAAAAATGTATAATATAATCAGAGCACAAAAGATATGCTAGAAAAGTCAGAGTTAACTGTGCAACTGGAGATCTCTTGTCCATTTTCCTACCTATTGCACAAAAAAATTTCATGCTAGTTTCTGTCTGATGATAAACCATCTGTGCATCCCCAATCTGATGATTAAAATGGTCATGAGCCATTAGACAGATGAAGTAACAATATAATCATTAAGGAATTCAGGGAAACAACCAATGGAGTCTTTTACAAAATCATGAGATATAAAAATTAAACTTGATTGTTCTAAAATCACTCAGTCATCAGATTCTCAGATTTAATTAAGTTTTCTTGAAACAAAGGACATGGAACAAACATGGGCTCTATATGTAAAATTATGAAATGTTTATGTCAAGAACTTCCACTATTCACATACAACCAGTACCGGTACTCAAAAAGTTTATAATCTGTTGTTTACATATACCGGGGTAATGGTCTTTACTCTGGTGGACCAGCCTCCAGTCTGAAGATGTTTCCAATGCCAGCTTTTGTCTTCAAAGCCTGAGAAATTTTTATTTAAAATTTGTGATCTTAAGTTTTAGCAAGAATTGAGTTTTAAGTTCCGGGTACCTACCTATTAATTTATTTCATTGAATTCATTAACATTAATGAATTTTATTAATTATGAAGAAATTATTTTTATTAAAAGATGTTATTGTTATAATAAATACCGCATACAATATTTATAATCACTGTAAATTATTAGAAAACAAACTTATTTTTATGCGGTACTTGATAATTTCAATGATTTTTTGTACCACTAAATATGGCTATTTCCAACATTACCTCCAAAGCTTTCACCATTTTCTTATAGTTTTCTTTATCCTTTTTCTTACTAGGATCTTCCACACAATCTTGTAATTTCATTTTGACAACAACGGTTTTTAGCTGTCTGCAATTTCCTGTAATTATGTAACATGGCAATGCGTACAGTAACCGGTATGACAAAAAAATGTTTCTTCAAAACATTTTCCCCCCTACCTGTTACATATATTGATGACCATAAATAATGTTTACTAATTCAAATATCAGTCTACCGGGATTGATTTATTTTCCTTAAAGCTACCAAAAGTTGCAGCTTTCCTATGTCTCCTCACAGAGCTGCTGGATATTTATTCCATTTTTTTTTTTAACTTACCTTGGAAAGTTTGAAGTGCTTTTGCCTCAACATTTGCCCCAATGATGTGCAGTGTGTGAAGGTTTTTCAGGCCAGTCCTGCACAAAGCTGTTGCTGAATCATTTGTAATTGTCATACAGTGATCAAACAAAATAAACTTCAGGCGTTGACATGACTGGACTAGAAACATGGAATGAAGCAATAGATTAAATCATTGATTTTTACAATCTAATGTTTATAAGAATGTCATGTTTAAGAAAATTATTTCAGGCCTGCCGCATTGCCAACTGAAAAATTTTAATTTACTCATATTTTAAATCTCCACCATTTTTGCAGACAAACAAAATTTTGTACAGACATATTTTTAAATTAAACTTATGAAGCTTAAGAACAAGGACAAATATCCATATTTAACACACTTTTTTTATTAGGTAATATGACAAGAGGGTTGACAATATTTTAAAATTATTTCCTCATTCAGTCATTGCATAGCATTCTCATCAGAATTGATTATGAACATACGAGTTTACAGCAAGCTATCAAGAAATCAAAACATAAAATGAACATACCCTGCTTAGTTTCACCTCACCAATGTTTTTACAATGTCTCAGTTTTTTTACAGACACCCTTAAGTTTGTATTGACTTTTATTGGCATGACATTTTAGGTGAAATTTATAAAGACCGTAAATTCAATGACGGTTGGCAACCCTGAGTCCTTTTTCAACCCTGTGTCAATTTTTTTAATGCACTTATCCACCTTAAAAATGTCTATTTTAAAGTATGGTAATAGAAACTTATTTTAAAATTAATAGTTTTTGTTCTTCAAATATTAACATTTTATATTGTATTTAATTATGTCTTATTTTAATAGTTATTAAAAATGTGTAATAAATATACGGTACTTGAATTTTTGCAGACTTCCTAATGAACACCACCAGGGCCTACTCAGTTTTTCACCACACACAAACTTATTGGGGGAAAAGTGGGTTTTGGGAGTCCAAGTTTGGCACATTACAAGTCATTGGCAGGACAGCCCTGAAAGTGAATATGCATATAGTTAACTCTCACCAAAGGGAAGTAGACCAGCAATATCAAATTCCTTTCCTCCAAGTCCCACTTCCTGAAGGTCTTTGTAGAACTGCCCAATGAGAAGCAGACAACGGTTGTTCATAGAAATTATCTTGTCACTGTAAGAAATTATCCTTTTTATTAGAAAAGTATTTTTAAAAAGCTAATTATAATAAAATGGCAACTTGCTGTTCAAAGTGTCATACAAATCAGTGTACAATAATTACTCTGAAATCTGGCAGAACAGCTCTATACAAAGTTACCACGCATAATGTTTTAGAGGGCATTCTTAAATATTTATTAGGCCTAGGCAGACTTAAATCATGAGAAAATTTCAAAAGATGTGTGCTAAGTATAATAAAGATAATGTTCCTTTTTAATTTCTATTCATTGGAGTAAAAAAATTAGAAATTTTAGAACTTGCAGAAATGATATTGAATAATGGGACTGTACACAAAGGTAGTCCTCAAAAAGTATCGGTACGCGTGTTTTCCATCCCCCCCCCCCTCCGGTGTCACTGCAGGGACAAGGGGTTGTTGAGTTTGGAGATTTTGCGAACTGGTGGGTGTCGTGGTCGGGAGAAAGTAGGCCTACGTACATTTAATAATTCTTAAATACTGAGACAACTATAAGGCCACCGTTTGTGATTCTGTGCCCCTGACGTAATTTGTAACGTATTTATTTCGTTGCCTGATTACTCTGAACCAAACAGCAGCATTGGCGAAAAGAAAAGGACTGGGAGATTGGGAAAGGGGGGGGCACGATTATTTAACACATTTAAGGGAGTGCTTCCAAAGTCCTAAGCTTTTTTTTTCTCTTATCATCTAGTCTAATTTTGTGGGAATTTACGACCCATTAGGCCTATGGACTATGATGTCTAACACTTTTTAAAGTTAACAAGATTTTAAGAAAAGATAACTCGCTCTAAGAGATTTTCTGCTAAAAGTGTCACTTCCGTTTCCTTTTTTTTTTTTTTTTTTTTAAGTTCGGGGGGGGGGGGGAAGTTTTTGTGAGGAAGTTTTTGGGAATTCCCTTTGAGAAACATTGGTCTACATTTTAAGTGATATCCTTAATAAAGAAAATTTCTGTGTAAATTGGCTATCAGTGTATCAGTTTAGTGTGTAGTGAATTGGCAATCAGTTTAGTGTGTAGTGAATTGGCAATCAGTTTAGTGTGTAGCACCAGTGTATTCAAAGTGTTTTGTGAACACTACTCCTATATTCCAAAAACGTTCGTAGCTTTATTGTTAAAGTTAAAGTAAAGTTTTTGGTTTGCTACCCAATCAGAAAAAACAAACTTCTTCATTAAACGTAGTCATAGTTGGAATGCAGGAGAAAAAAATAATTAATAGATGACTATCCATTAACTTTCACCATTGCATTGTTTAACAGTTGTAGAGGAGACAACAGACACCATAGTATATAGGCCTACTAATAGTATTAATTAGTATAGAAGTGTATAATGAATAATGTATAGTATCAGTATACAGTATAGTATTGATTTTGATAAGTTTCATTAAAATATAGTTACTCGTGTTAAAATATAACAATCTCAGCAGTGCGCCTACTTTTTTTCATTAAATTATTATAATTTCTTCCAATTGTTTAATTAATATAATGAGAAGAAAACCATTCATTTTCCATAATGACCATATGACATATGTACTTAGTTTTCAGATGCAGTCCCAGCAAAGGCAGGGACAGGGAACTACTGTTCAGCTAATACTTGAAAAGAAGCTTGATGAAATCCAGAAACAATATATACATCTACTGGAGATAATTAAGGCAGTAAATGGCTGTATATCAAAAGTATGTACTTGACCTACTAATACTAATACTATTATGTGCACTTAAGCTCCTTGATTACTGATTTACAATATGTATCAGGTATTGGCAGGCGTTGAAATCATGAGTCATTTTGAGTTCTAGTGCTCTCGAATAATCTAATAACTTTACAATCGAAAGGCTATTTATAAAACTGATTTTTAGTTGTTGTTTTTAATACTAGTTTTTTAAAAACTGATGATGAAGACTCATTTTTAAATTGTTAGGCAGTCAGCTAGTATCATTTCTTTGAGCACAGGCTGAAATGAGGTTGATGAATCTAGAGGTAACAAGCTCCACTATGGAAACTGTGCGATTGGCAACATATGTAGATCTTATTCAAGAGAACTTATCTATATCTAAGAAATCCCTGGAAACTCTAACAAAGTTTAATTGTAAGTATTTTAGTAAGGATTTTATTTATCAAATAACCATGAAATGTAAACAAACATTTAGGAATTTTAAATTTTAGAGTAAATGTAATCTTTTAAACCAAAATGATCATTTAAAAAACAGTTTTTATATATTTAAATTGACTTTTTGTTTGTTTAATAAAAGCATTATATTTATGAGCTGTCATTTTTTTGGTAGACTAATTGTATTCTTTTTTTCTCATAAAGTTAATGTTTACTTTCTTTAAAATATTTTTTGGGGAAGTTGATGAAAACACATCAGAACAGCCAGCCAATGAAGATTTTAATTCTCCAAGCACCACTGGTTTTGATATTCTTTATGCTCAACTTCTTGAACTGAAGGAAAATATGACAAAGAGATTTGAAACAGTTGAGGATCATCTGTCATTATTGGACCAATCAACTGACTCAAGACTGCAGAATGCCGAAGCCAAACAACTACTTATAGTTCAAATTCAACTTAGAAATGATGAAGAGTGCAACAGACTTGCAGCTCAACAGAAGAGTTTTGGTGACGATTTAAATAAGGTCAAGAAAAAAATTGATAGTCTCCAAAAGTTAAGAGATGCTCTAAACCAGACACACAAAAACATTTCTTCTAGAGCTGAAATAGCTGAGAACATAACAGAGATGAAAAAGAAAATGGAAGACTTCAAACAGATGGTATTGATCTTGCAGCAAGGTAAGAACTTTTAGTTTGCATGTATTAATATTTGATGTTTCTGTCTTTTTATTCATTTACTTTGAATATTGATACTGTGCGTCTATCGAGCTTGTGTCATCAGTACACTACTATACGGGAGCGAGACATGGACCACCTATACATCCCAAGAGCGCAAGCTTAATAGCTTCCATATGAGATGCCTGCGTCGCATCCTTGGTATTAAATAGGCAAGAAAAAGTGACTAATAGTGAGGTCCTAATGCGTGCGAATACCCAAAGCATGTTCACAATCCTTAGTGAAAGACGCCTGAGATGGCTAGGTCATGTTAAAAGAATGAGTCCCGGCCGCATTCCGAAAGACATCCTATATGGTGAACTTGCTTCGGGAAAGAGGAAAACAGGTCGCCCACGTCTGCGATTTAAAGATGTCTGTCAAACGGACATGAAAGCAGCCAAAATACATACAAGTGACTGGGAGTGTAAGGCAAAAGACCGATCTACGTGGCGCACAGTTGTCAAAGAGGGCGTCATGGTAGCCGAGGAGCGAAGAATGGAAGAGGCTGCAGACAGAAGAGCTAGGAGAAAGGCCAAAACATATAGAAGCACGGAACTCGTGTGTAAAAACTGTGGTAAAGACTGTCACTCAAGGATAGGACTGCACAGCCACTCGAGAAAATGCAACCCAACCAAACAGTGATGCACCATCGTCTCACGAGACGGAAGGATGCCGATAGAATATTCATAAAAATCTTCTTTTAGGCATCTTATAAATAACATAACATTATTTCCTTGTCTTCTCTTCTTATTCTATATTTTGATGGCCCACAATCAAGGTGTTGATCATTCTGGCTCCTATGTTTGTATAGGGATTTGTAATGTTTCTGTGCATGGTTTTGAAGAGGGCACTTCACTGGTTGCAAGGGCTACTCAGCAATGATCTTAGGAACTTCACATCTACTAAAGTTTATTGACAAAACATGTATTCAAGTTACACACTTTATAAGAATGCTTCTGGTCATTTTATTTTGCACATTCTTTGAAATCATTGTTATACTCATACATGAATACCTATTTGTGTTATATCTAGGTATTAAACTAATGAGAAATGAGTGCAGTACTATGATTTAGTGAGCGACTTCTTGTGAAATAAATTCTCCTGGAGGTCATTAAATTTCCTGACTAATTTTTTACACAAACTTCTGCTGAAAAAAGATCCGGATTAAAAAGCACTGCTTTTAAATGTAAAACTAGTTAAGGAAGGAAATCTAGGAGATACAAGCTAAAAAATTAAGTTACTATGATTTCCACCATTGATTTCAGATCAGCTCAAGGAGAATGTGATGTCAGCATTTGTGGCAGAGGCCACGTCAAAGACAATCGTAACATCAGGAAACATTATTCACTTTTCTATCGTGAATTTCAATAAAAGGAACTGTTATGATCACAAGACAAGTAAATTTAAAGCTCAGATTCCAGGACTCTACTATTTCAGTGTGTCCATTAACACAAACACCATGGGGTTGTTAACGGTGGCCATTTCTCACATGGGAAATCAAGTAGCTTTGTGTGCCACACCCGATGGCCAGGATTTTCAAACAAGTACATCTGTACTGTTGGAACTGTCAGCTGGAGATGAGGTATGGGTGGAAGCAGACAGTATCACTCCAAAAAATAAAATGGAAATAGGGGGTGGAGTTTCGAATTTTTTGGGGTTTCAGATTAGATAGTAAAAAAAATAATTTTGCTAAGATTCAATGCATTAAATCAACGACATGGGGAATTATATTTTGTCTTATTTCATACATAATATTTTGTAGATTAAGTAAAATATTTCACTTCTAAATTCTTGACTTGATCATTGTTAACTATCATTGTTAACTTGATCATTGCTAACGTGGTAATTGTTAACTTCATCATTGTTAACTTGGTCATTGCTAATTTGTCATGGCTATTGGGAATAAAACAGACATTTAATATCAATGAGTTCTTTTCTTATTTTTTTTCTTGTATTATCTCCAAGAGTATCCAAGATTTTAGTTTAGATCACTGCAGCAATCAGTTTATTCAATAAACAAAAGTGAAATGTTAGACAGAGAAAACATAACAGTTAGATTTATTTTATTTTTAAATTTTACGGTGAGTATAAAATTTTAACAATAAAAAACTCCATACTTTATTTGAGAAAGATAAAGCTAAGTATTATGGGTATTATTCAAAAAGGAAATTAGTTACAATGAGAATAAATTATGCCCAGCATTCATGACCTAAATCCACAAACTGAGATAACTATTTATTTATTCACTCTCGTTTCCAAAAATAAAATAAATAGGAAAAATATGCTTGAGCTATCAATTCTTGTTTAAGTCAAATAAAATCTGTATTTCTTATGTACACAAAAAGATGTATTCTCACCATGGATATTTTGGCTGCACAAAAAGTGAAGTGACACCGGGACATCCTCCTCCTAATGCCCACATGAGTTGAGGAGTTATGGGGTCTGATTTACTTTGATAGGTTAGTTTGGTCAGTAGACGACAATAACCACTCACTAACCACAAGCATCTGGACAAAAGCAAATAAAAGAGATAAAAATTGTGCTTTTTATGTTTTTTTTTAAAGAAAAATGTTCCTTCAAAATGTAACACCAACACTTTAAAGGTAAATTATTAAGAACGCAAATTTTTTGCAGTCGATTAATAGATAAAATTTGATCCAAATTAAGTATGAACCTTTTTAAGTGCTAGAGAAGATGTATGATTAGATATCTCCTTTAACAAGAAAATATGTATGATTAGATATCTCCTTTAACAAGAAAATATGATCAGATATCTTTTTCAACATACATCACTCTTTATCTGGCTATTTTATAATGAACTGTAATGCATTTGAACGTTCGCATCATCTTTTAAAATAGAAATGCTGACTTACTTATCAGTCAGTAAATTGTCACAGTCAAATATGTACAAGCAAGTAATGGTGTTCTGACAAGAAGACAGGAATCTCTCTAGACCAGGCTCAAGACTACCTCTGAAAAAAAAATGTATATAAAATAAAATATCTGATAGGAACTGTATAAGCAAATATTTCATAACTGATGCACATGATATAAAATTTCATGAAATAATCGATTTATAACAGACTTAAACATGGAATAATATTTTTATTGTTGTTTTGGTTTTTTTTTTGCGCTATCTATTAACAAAATATTTCTACTACTTTTTAAGAGATAAAATCATCTTAAAAACTTTTAGTTAAAAGATACTTAAAGCAGTATTAGTGTTAATGTGACAAATTAAAAAAAACTTTAGTTAATAATGTGTCAAATTAATATAGTTTTAAAGTAAAAAAAGTTACAAGTTATCTGTATAACAATACTGTCTATGATTCCATAAATCAATGAAAAGGGTATGATGGATATTGTATCACATGTAAATCGTATGTCATGTGGTGGTGTAAATTGACACTTTGTATAATATTAAACATGACTGAACACGCTCCACTTGAGCGTCAGATTAACATAATATATCATCATCTCCCTACATTCTATTACCTCAAATTTGCCTGATAATCCTCTGGTGATTCATCAGCGCTAATCCCTCTTCCATTTAAACCTGTTGTAGACATATTGAAAACATTGTAACTTTTTTTTTTTTAAGAGAATTATTTTTTAAATTAATTCATTTTTAGACTGCAGATTTTAGAAATCCACGGACAAAGATGTTTTATTTCTAAATGGCTTGCACTAATAGAACTTTTTTTTTAAAACTCAATGCATTCAGAATGTTACTCAGAAAAGAACTTGTTTTTGAAAAGAAGTGATGAAATGCTCAAGATAACAATAGTCTAATCAAATTAGTCATTGATAATATGTTTGCAGGAAAGTATCTCTAATAATAATAGAATAGTGATAAATAAAATATATTTAATTCTTCCCAATATAAATTAAGTCCAAAATAAACAATTAAAGTCATTAGTAAAATGGATATAAAATCTTTAAATTTTATTGAGTTATTAAATGTATACTGCTACATAGGATATGTAACCAATTAACTTTTAACCATTTTTTTAAAACACCATTCTAGTATATTTGTTATTTAAAGATCAGTAGGGTAAATTTTGAATTATTAATCACTGCAATCAATTTTAATAGTAGGCTGCATGTCCTGTGACATGTAATGACGAATTTTTTTATGTTCCTGAATTCTTTTATTTAAAAATTTCTTTGTGTGTTAAATAAAATTAAATTTATAGGTGTTGATTTGTCTCCAATACTAGACATTGTAAATAATAATGATAAATAAGTAAGCCTATCTTATTATTTTTATTACAGTTAGCAGGAGATGTATCTTGAAAAGTACTAAGAAATTAGGAATCATTTAAAATATCAAAGCAGCGTAATTGTATAGATAAATTTCAAATGTTCCACTTTTTCCTTTTTAAATGTGCACTTTTAATAGGGAATATGATTCTAAATAACATACTGTGTTTTTAGAAGAAATTTTCAAAATTAGGATAATGCAACAGTCAAAAGATATTTTATATTCTATGGAGAAAAAACTTTGGACCATTGCAAATTGTTTTACAGGTCTATAATTTGATTTGGAAAACACATAAAAATGAAATTTATTCAAGAACTTGAAAAAAATTTCAATGATTAACTTCAGATTTTTTTCAGAAAGTAATCATTTTATAGTTGTATCATCATTAAAATAGATAGCTGTTGTATAATTTCATTAAATAATTATTCCCTGTGTCTGTTAAAGAGATTCTGTGTACTAGAGTAGGGTCCTCATACTATGGCCCATGGGCCAGATATGGCCCACAAGAGGTCCTTAACCAGCCAACCTGTTTCTGGTCACCTGGGTGGCAGTGAAAAATATAGAACCAGACATTGACCTTCTATTTAGCCTATGCTTCCCATTGAAATTCTAATAACTTTATGTTGATTAAAATTATTCTTAAATCGTTTTTTTTTTTTTTTTTTTTGACTTACAATTAAGATCTGTGCATAGGAATTAGTTCATATTTTTTCAAACAAAAGTCCAGTCTCAAAAGTATCAAAGGGTCATCCAACCAGTCCCCAAGATTTTTGTTGATTAAAATTTTTCTTAAATCTTTTTTTTTTTTTTTTTTTGTGACTTACAAATAAGATCTGTGCATAGGAATTAGTTCATATTTTTTCAAACAAGAGTCCAGCCTCAAAAGTATCACAGGGTCATCCAACCAGTCCCCAAGTGTCTGAGGGACAGTGAACAGCCCCCTTCCCCCCTCAACCTGATTGTTAAAGTTTGAGGACCCCTGTACTAGAGCAAGTGAATATGTTACGATATTGCAAAAAGTTTATAACATCTGTTCATTTTCAACATCTATACAACATGGAATGTGTTCTCACCAAGTTTCTTGTTGGTCTAGGCATGAGAAAAATTAAGATTCATAAAATTGTCATTTTATAAAAGTAAAGAGTAAACTTACATTTGTACAATTGATTTTTTAAATCAATTTCGTTTTTAATTTTTAACATTTTATAATTAGGATGTGTATGTGCACTGGTAATGTGATTAATGGAGATCTATAAAAACTGCAGAATAGTTATATTTCAGATTGAAGTAAGTGTTGCAACCTCTGTAGATTTCAATATTTCTAAAAACCAGTTCAATTGCTTTACACAATAGAGGTCCAATATAATCAACTTCTTTAAATAATAGCAATCCAGCCAAATCAATTGCTTTACATAACAGAGGTCCAATCCATTCAATTCTTTACATAAGAGAGGTTCAATCCATAAAATTGCTTTACATAATAGAGGTCCAACTCATAAAACCTGCATTTATTCTTTTCAGCAATGATAAAAAAAAAATACTCTAAACCAAGAAAAGACAAAATTATTTATTGAAATGATAAAAATAGTCATCTGTGATTATTTGATAGAAGTGAAAGTGAAGCTTATAATTGTGCCAGCTTGTGATAGTGAGTGAAAAAAACAAACCTTGAAGTGACAGTGACTGAGTCTGTGTGCACCACTGTGACAGAGTCACCATAAACTGTCAACAAATAAATGTACACTTGGTGACACAGTGACAAACTCAATAAGGAGACTCTGACGCTAAAGAGTTCAACTCAACAAAATGTAAAACTTAATTTTGCAGCAAAAAATGAAAGTCTGTATTTTTTGCTGGGGGGGATGGCATTAAAGAAGTTTGGCTCTTTAATGATTAGTTTGCTCTTTGAATCAATTATAATGTAAATAATGAGAAATGTTGTGGCTGGTGGATTAAGTTACTTTAAAATTTACAATATTTTGATCATTAGAGTTATTTTTGTATTCTTAAACTTAAATTATTATATAAAAACTTATATAATAAAACCAAATTTACATATATATAAATGTATATATATCATGTTATTATATACATATATATATATATATATATATATATATATATAATAACATCAATCATAATAAAAATAAACTTAAAGATGTTTATCACAGAGTCATGGGAAAAATTATACCATACATTTATGTATATATGTTTTTTATAGTGGGCATGAATTTTTTCTTCCTCATTGAATATCACTTTCAAAGCATTTATTTTAACAATTTTTCTGTTTTTATTTATACCAAACAAAAAAGATAACATAATTTTCAAAAAGCATTATCAACAAATCAACAGCTTAATATGTTACTTAACAGATGAATGAGTTAAAGTTATATAATTTACTGTACATACTTTCTTTTCGTGTCTTCTACTAATTTGATGATTTAGACCATTGAATTACAAGGAGAATATCTTCAATTCATTCAGAATGCTTAAAATGTGTCACCAACATTTATAAATAAGTAAATATCATGATTTGATAAATTATGTTATTTTTAATTAAATATCTTTTGATATATTTCTTAAGTGAACTGTTTTAACTTTTGAACTCCTTTATATTACCTCAGATGATATTGCTCTGTTTTCCAATGTTACATGTTTCCACAGGGAAGGATGTCGGCTAACTCTACACCAATCTTTACTGACACACGAAACTTGTATCAGGCTCGGTGTATCCAAATAGGAAAATATGCGGAAAAGAGCAATGCGCATCCGCCTTATTGATTTACGCTTCACTCTCTCATTGTCATCTAGATCTGATGAGTAAAATGTTTATGATAAGATTATGTGACCAATAGATAAACACTGTGACCATATCAATCAATCACATTTGAAATTACTTGGAAATTCATACATTGTTTTACTATGTGATGAAAATAAGTTTTTTTTATGTGTAACTTATAAATTATTGTACACAAAAATATTATCCATAATATTAATGAAGTTTCACTGTAGTTTCTGGTTTAAATTTTGATACTTAACTATTCAAAGACATCAAGGGGAGGTAAGCTGAAATAAGCTGAAAATTTGCTGACACCTGACCATCAAACATTCTCAGCTAATCCGTAAAAAAAATTTAAGCAGCTATTCTAAAATACTAAGATCATCTTAGTGTTTACATACGAATCATATACATATTGTCACAATGGATGCGTAAGTTATGAAGCATCAAAATGCCAAAATATTACCTTCGGCACTAGAAGAAATGGAGTCGTCTGATGGCGCCCTCTTCAGGACAGGCTTGGGTCTTTGTTTCCTACGGATGTGTTTTACAACAGGTATATTTTTTCGGACTGTAAATCCTTTCTGCAGATATCCTGGTTTGGCTAATTTCTCCAGATCTGTGTCAGTGGACGCATCAACGCTCTCTTTACGAGCCGAAGGACTTCTTTTCAATGGTTCCTCATCTAATAAATCATCTTCTGATGAAGCAGCATGGGTTGATTCAGCTTGCACCAGGGCTGAAACATGAAGGTTTTCATGAGTGTTGGGAAAGTGTCTGGTTTCAGAATGCTCTTTCAAGCTATCATCTTCAGATAAAGTTTCCTGAATTTCATCCTGTGATGACACCCTAACCCGAAGTTCTTTGGCTGGCTTGAGTTCAGCCTCTTGATATTTGACCAAGTCTCTATCCTGTTCAGTTTCCTCTTGTCGTGTACTTTCTTTATCATTTAGTACATGATTATCTTCTCCTGACCTAGATCCAGACACCCGAGCCTCCAGATATGGATTTGATTGACCAGTGACCAAGTTTTCCATTCTGTTTGGATTATTCATTGTGTGTTCACCTTGTGAATGTTGTTGAGATGCGAGAGGATATCCATGACTTACTCCTGGTTTATTTTCTACTCTTTTTATATCTGGATCTTTTTTTGTTTCATCCACTGTACTGTTCTGATGATCATTTACACTGAGGATGCTTACATGATCCTTAAGCTCCTTAACAGGTGCTGAGGTGTACACATTTTCTTTAACAGGTGTTGAGGTGTACACATTTTCTTTAACAGGTGGTGATGTGAACACATTTTCTTTAACAGGTGTTGAGGTGTACACATTTTCTTTAACGGGTCTTGAGGTGAACACCTTTTCTTGTTGCTTGATACTTTTCTTAACTCTGTCCCCATCATCATTTTTCTTGTTTTCCATCTGTTTTATATTACTTTTTACTGGACCTAGTGATGCGTAGCTGCTGGATGATAGGTCAGACTCGACCTGGCATATGTCAAAGCCATCTGATTGTTTTGAGAATGAGATGGTCCTGGCAACTCTTGGTGGCTTGGGCTGCATCAGTTGTTCAACCCGTTTCTGCACATCTCTTGCTTTTTGCAGTGGGCTGCTATCTGAGGAATCACCAGCAGAATATTCATTAGCTGCCTTGGATGAAACTTTCTGCCTCTGCAAGTTATTAGCATAGAGGTTTCTGCTGTAGTCATCTCTGGCTGAGGAGTGATATGGCTTGCGATCTAAGGATGTTAAAAGTTTGGCCATTTTATCACCTAGTGGAACTGGGTCATTCTCCAGATCTGCTATTTTTGCTTTGGTCACAAGTTTCGCAGAAAATTTCTTGGGCTTGGAGATGAAATATTCGGGTTCCACAGATTCATCATGAGACACTTGCCCATCTTCATGGATATAATCTGTTAAATCCTCATCTATGTCAGTATCATCATGAACATTGTGCTGTCCTGTCTTTGATATAGTTGATACAGGTTTTGATGAATAGGATCTAGAAATGGGCGGTTCCCACATAATTCCATCCTCATCAAGTGACAGTTCGTCACTAATGTCTTGATCTTGGTCAGGATGTGATTGAAAATATCTCTTTTTATCTGCATCCTGTGGCCTCTGTCCTGGTGAAGAAGGGAGACCAAAGGGCTGAGAATAAATGGAGTGCTTAGCTAAATGGGCAAACATTCTTTCAACTTCTGGTGTATTTTGAAACAATGATGGATTAGAAGTATTTTTCTCTAATGTTAAAACAGGTCTGCTATTATTGTCAGCTTCAAGGAAAAGTGTTTGTGGAGAGATTGTTCCTGCCTTGTGTGCATACGGTTCATGCATGTGAGGGCTTGCTGAGATATTGTTGTACACATGAGAGATGGTTAAATTAGGTTTTGTTACATAATCTGGAGATGTTGAAGGTTGGTTTCTGAAATCCGCATTATAGAAAATGTTCAGATGATCCAAGTCTGTGTCTTTAGAAGGTGTTGGAAAATCTGGTTGATTTTTTGAATAATTATTCATCATGCTTCCATGAATTGGTGGAAAGGGGTTAGACATATTGGAATTTAAATCAGGGTGCCCTGTAGATGATAGATGTGGTGGCTGTTTGGGTGATATGTGCATGCTGGTAGTGTTAGGAGACTCTGTCTCAGAGAATACGTCAGCAGTTGAAGTTGACCTCCTCGTGTCAAGGGAAGCAAACTGCGGCAACTGGTTTTTTTGTTGATACGTGGACCGTAAAGCCCCAGGAGCTTTTAATAATGAATTTATATCTTCACTTAGTCTTGGATCGGCAGCAGGGCCAAAATATGATGCATGCATTGGAGATAAACGAGTGGAGGGGGAATGATAAAGTTGAAGGCAAGAATTGCAAAGTTTTAAGTTTAAATCTACTTGCTCTTGGCTTGCAGTGGGTGGTGACAGATGTTTCTCATAGCAGTGGTGACAACACTTGACGGACACTAAACTGTCATTCTGTCCATGTGAAACTTCTTCTCTTTTGTTATGATGTGTGTCAAGTTGTGTGGAATGTGGCTTATAATCTACATTACTGCCATCACTATTATAACTTAGATCACTATCATTCATGATTTCCCTACTTTGTGCTCCGCTCTCCATTGGTGATCGTGAAACACGTTTTAATTCATTATTCCTCTCAGCATATTTTTTCTTGGTTTTAGGTTCCGAAGTTGATTTATGTCGATGCGGTTTGCTGAAAAAATAAAATTCAATTGATTTATTAATAATTAATTAATGAGCAATCGCCACTCTTTCTGAGGACTTCAAATGTCTGAATCAGCTAAATGAAAGTAGTATTAAGGGGGAAAAGCTGTTTGGAAAATTAATTCTTCTTTGAACTCATATAATTTTAATTATACATGCATTGAATTAGACAAGTAGGAGCAGTGCAGCAATGACACATTGTTTTGTCAAAGGTTATATCTAACCCGATAGAAAATATGAAACTTATACATTTCTAGAGTCTAACTTATTTGATGATGAAAAAACCACTCTTACAGCCCTGTATATTTTGATTTTGTTTCCCCAATTTAAATTCACTGTCGAGTTGTATCTTGGACTGTAGAATTAGCTCCCCTTGTGTTTATGTAACTGTCTAAACCAATTAATGTTTTCTTGTTTTGGTGGGTCATCTTCCAAATACATTTTCTCTAGAACTTACTAGATGGTTCTTAATAGAGATCAAGAATTCTTGTTGCCCTTCAACACAAAAGTTTGATTCTAGAAAAGTCTCCCCCTAGACTATAAAAAGACGATTGACTGTGACAGGGAGAGGTATGACATTACAAGACCTACAAGATTTTCACTGTGTGTGTGTGTGTGTATTAATATTTTGACCTTTCTATTATTATTTGTAATCACGTGCTGAAAGTTTTTAGTGTTTTTACAATTTTATATATTTGAGTTTGTACTTTATACCATGATTGTTTGTATAATTAAACTGTTACTTGTAATTAGTTGGGGTATCATTCTTTCTTTATTATATTTAATCAATGGTATCATCTCTTTTTTATGCAATGTTTGTTAACAAGCCATATTAAAACAACAATCAAATTTTTCTAATGTGATTAAGGTACACATGCACCATTTTTAAATTGGAAAATCCATTTACAATTTTAACAAAATAATGTTGTAATAAATATAAAATTATAAGTCTGGCATTTTTCAGTTTTTTTCCCACTTAAAGCTATTTTTTTAAAGTAAAAAGAATAATCAAACCAATGTATATACAGTGCTTCTTTGTCATGGAATGCATACAAATGATATTCTTCCACCTTTTTTTCTTAGCTTTTGTTTGCCCCAGGAATTTTATAAAAACTAATGGACTTTTTCCTTTAAAAAAAAACAACTGCTTATATGTTTCACTTTACCTGTGGTAATTATCTTTATGTAAACGTGAGTCCTTAGGTGTTTCAGTCTGATCACTATCATCTGGATGTTTCCTAGTCTCTGTAAAACTAACCCCAGGAAGCAGGCTAAGATCTGGAACTTGAGTGGTTTGTTTCACTTTCTGAAAAGGAAAAACAAAATATTTTATTTATTTAATGAAAAGTTAATAAAATGATTAATGAAAAGTTAATAAAATGATACAATGTTTATTTCACTTTTTAAAACATGTTCTGTTTAAATAACTCATTTTAAAAAGAAACAATTTACATAAATTTTGTTTGCTGATCCATTTTTTAAAATCTATATTTCACACACTTACTGGGATATACCTACTATAGTATACACATCAATAATTCAATTGTATAATGTCTATGTTTAGTTCAATTATTTCACTTATTTGATTGGTACCATTCCATGGGCATTTTTCCTATAAAGTTAAAGGTGATTACACTCATTAATTGGACCCACCTTGCTACCATGTCTTGATGCTCTCTCAGACATTGTTCCAAACGAGTCCTTCAGTCTCTGCAGCTCTGCCTCTGCCTGTCCTGCTCTGTCAATAAGCCCAGAGATGAAATCTTCCAACTTAGATCTGGCTTCTAGTTCCTTTTCTGCTGTATCTTTCAGAAATTTTGTCATTCTCTCCATTTCACTGCAAAGATAATTTTTTTACAAAATAAAGGCACTTAGGCCCAACAAATTCTGTTATTTTCAATTTTAAATTATTTTTTTAAGAATTTCAATCAATCAACAGCTCTAAAAAAATAGTTTGTTTTTTCTTCAGTAACAATTGCCTCCATGAATGAAGTCATCATTATTTCCCAAGTGTAAGGAAGTTATTAAATGAACCTCAAAATGTCCAAAATTTAATAATTATATATTTGTTTTAATGGACAAAACAAAACTAAGAGTTAAACTCACTGTTTGGCCTTTTTCAATTTTTCTTCTCTCTTCCTGAGCTCTTCTTTCATTTTCACTTGACTTTTTTCCTTCTCTGCCAATCTTGCCTTGAGAAATCCCACATTTTCTGACAATAATTTATCCTGGCCGTCTTTAGCAGCCAGCTCTTGGGTTAAATCTTTCAACTTCTTTTCAAGATTTTGTTTCTCTTCAATACTGGAGTTCAAAATTTCTTTCATTGATTGGACCTGAAATTAATTATTTTTAGTTTTGAGAGGATTTCATTATTATGTAAAATCAGCTTGCAGTTAAATTTAAAAGTGAATTTTAAAAAAGATATGAATACATTCTAACAAATAAAATACTTTCATAAACCCATTGTTAATATTTTTTTAATGAAAACGTGTCCATGAGCAAATGACTAAATCAATAAATGCATTTAATAAAATAAAAAGTTAATTATATAAGCCAATTTAATATGTAGACATAAATATTTTAATCAAAAAGTTGAATTCATATAATTCCCAAACGTTATACAAAATTAATACCCTATATGAAATGAAAAACTACTATACAATAAATCAGATTTCTTTAATTTTTGTTAATCACAAATTATACCTGAAAGCTGTTGGAAGAAATCAGTGAATTATAGACAGCTTCTCTCTCAGTTGCTAGTTTGAGGGATTCATCTCTCTCTTTAGCCAACCTGACTTGAGTAGCCCTGGCCTGTTCTAAGGAGCTGGTGACATTGATCAGTTGCTGTTCCTTTTCCTTTAACATCATTTTTAATTTACCAAGACTTAAATCAGCTTGATGGTAAAGTGCATTTGTCTCCTCTGGAAAAAATATAATATATGCAATAAAGTGAATTAAACTAAATAGTTAAAATAAGAATGTATCCTTTTTAAATTGTAAATATTTTAATATTATTTAATATAAATCGTATATTTTATAAATATACAAAAAATGCAATCACTGCCAACAACTAGGACTTACTCTACCATACAATGTTAATTTCAATCTTTATAAGAAAATCATTAGAAAATTGTAAGCATCTATCATCTTTCAAACCAATGGTTAAATATAAGTTATGTCTGTAATGGATCAGTTGCAAAAGTGATTAAATCTTTACGAAAAAATGACAAAATCAAGTGGTCCGTTCATTTATCAAGATAACGTTTCATTGATTTTATTTTCCTTATATAAGGATTAAAGACAGAACTTTGTGTTGTATTTGGAAATAAAGTTGTTGTTTTTTTCTCTTTTAAAGATGGTATTTATTTTATCTCTATTGAAGAAGGTATTTTATCTCTTAAAGATGGCATTTTATCTCTCTTAAAGATGGTACTTAAAGCTCTCTTAAAGATGGTATTTTGTCTCTCTTAAAGGTGACATTTTATCTCTCTTTTAAAGATGACATTTTATCTCTCTTAAAGATGAAATTGTATCTCCCTTAAAGATGGTATTTTATCTTTCTTTTAAAGATGGTATTTTGTCTCTCTTAAAGATGTCCTTTTATCACTCTTAAAAATTATATTTTATTATCTTTAAGGTTATTTTTCTAATCAGGAAAGCCATTTCATAAATAGAAAATTGAAAAAATATCTTCACAAATAAAATTCAAAATGTTATTATTGTAGGTCAAAAACAAATCCTTTTTTTCTATAAGATAACAATATGAAAGTTGGCCACTAACCTAAAAGCTCTGCTTGTTCTTGTTTTGACTGCTCCAGGTCAGAGTTCAGCTGAGTAAGTTCCTGGCTCCGACCTTCAAGTTCTTCATGCAACTTTAAATTATCAGTAGCAGCAGCCTCCAGTAAACTTTGCATTTCAATCAACAAATTCTGCCTGTCTTTGTCCAGCTGTTGAGCTTTAGATTTGATCTTGGTTATCTCTCTTTCTTTTGAATTAGAATCACCCAGGACTGGCTTGGATGGCAGCTTGTATTGACCGTTATGGGGATATCCCTCTTTACCACTTGGTTCAGATCGTCTTGCAAAATGTTTTGATGAATCTTCATTTAATGGTGAGCTCATATTTTCCGTAATGTGGTTAACTTTTCCAAAGCTGCCATCATTGCTGAGATGATCTGGTTTCTGGAAAGCACTTATTTGACCTTTGACCAAAGCATTTTGAATTTCTGACATTTTTTGGTTAAGTGCATCAAGTTCATGCTGTTTTTTAATAAGCTGCTGTTGAAGATCTTCTGTTTTAAATTCTGACTCCTGTCTTAAAATGCTGACCTTTTCCATGCTTTCTATCTGTTGCTGTCCAAGATGCTTGATTTCATGCATGACAATGCCTAACTTTTTCTCCTTTTCTTTGAGCCGCTCGGCAAGCGTCTCTATTACCTTTTGCTGCTGGGCTATTTTAATTTCTGCAGCCTGCTCTACACTTGTTAGCATTTCCTGTGCTGTGTATAAGGAGTTTGCTGTGTCATGCTGGTTAGCCCGCTCCATCAAGACTTCTTGGGACAGTGCTGACAACGTGTCTTTAATATGTCTTTCACCTACATTAGCGAATGATGTAGGTTGGAATGTTGTATCAAAATGTGTCTGAGATCGTAAGGGAGGAAAGGGGAGAGCATTTTGAGATTTTCCCTGACTAAAACTTTTAGAAAATGGGTCCTCAATATCTGACCTATCTAGCACATGTATGTGCTGCATGTTGTTTTGTTTGTCATTTGCATACTTGGGAGCTGTATAGTATTTTTGATATCTGCTGGAGTGACCAAAGTCTCTGAATGATGACTGGGCTGAATCATTTCTTATCCTGTGGGGAAAATCTTTATATCCATAACCGTTTGTTACTTTAGAGGTACCCAAGCCAGAATAATCACTTCTGAATCTCTTGTTGTTTGCTTCTTCCTCTTTACTCAATCTAAGAGATTCTTCCAGATGCTCCGCGTCAGCACGAAACATTTCTGTAAGAGGAGACCGACGCCCTCCTCTTGGTCTTGCATCAATGCCAGAGATGTGATGCTGTTGCTGAGATCTTGATGAAGCATAGGAGTGCTCATGTTCCAAGTGGCGCCTCAGGTCATGAAGAGAGTCAAATTTTCTCCTATCACCACATTTTGGGCAACGGAACGGAATGTGTATTTCTGAAGCCATCGTTCACCTCCTACTGCATCATTTTTAAATGAATCTGCAATGAAGTTTATTAATATTAATATTAGCAAGGTTGTTTAGGAAGGCCATTAGGACTTTTCCTGATAAACACTGTAAATGTAAAAAGAAAAATCTACCTAAATTCATTGAATACCAAATAATCTCAACATAAGTATATATTAAAAATTGTGATATTTCTTTATGATTTTAACTAATAGTGATATTTCTTTAAGATGTAAAAAAACTAGTGATATTTTTTAATGATTTCAATAAACAGTGATATTTATTTATAGTATCAAAACACTTAGTATTCCTTTATATGTTATATTTCTTTATATAAGATGAGATACGGTTCTTTTATTGATCCAAATAATGGTTATGTTTCTTGATTGCATTATACACATGCATTTTCAAAACATAAATAAATACTTAATTTAATAAAGTCAATGTTATCCAACTACATTAATTTAAACACAAGACATCTGGATTAAATTATTTCTCTAGTGTAAAAAACAGCCAATCAGTGGACTCCCTTTGTCATATTTCTTTATAAACTCAATTTAAAAACTTGGCACTCCAGTCCTTATTTAACAACAATGTGGAGAGAACAAACAAGTTGATCATGTTGAGTTTTAATGCTTACAGAGTCAAGAGTGTGTACACTTTTAAATACCAGAGGCTGGATGTAAATATGTCAGAGGGATAACTCTGTTAGTAGCATTTATTGTGGATATATTTTATGGCATTTACATTTATTGTGGATATAGTTTAAGTTAGTAACATTTATTGTGAAAATATTTTATTTAGTATCATTTTTGGGGGATATATTTTATAGGGCTTAAAATGTGCCACAGACTCAGCAACTAACATTAATTTTTTTAATATTTTTTTTTATTTTTATGATGACCAACAACTGGAACCCCAAAAAAAGGTATAAAACCTGAATTTCAATTTATGGGTGTAACCTCCCCTTAATCCTTCAAAAGTGCTTGGCCAAGTGAACACTTGAAATCTACTGAAATACTAGACTACTTTGACATATGCCACTATGTCTGACCACTTTGACTGTCATTTGCTGGTCATATATGACACATTAATAGTATAATTATTGATCTATTTTAAATTTATTTCACACTTACCGCATAATCACCTAATTATTATCACGTCCCGATGATAATATAAGCTATTTTATCAATACATTTTAAAATTTTAAGTCGATATTATAATAAGAACTAATGAAATAATGGTTTCAAGTTTGAAACAAAAACTAGACATGAAATAAATCTCATTAAATTGAATCACTAATCTACCATTGAAATTTCCATGTCCCAGGTGAATGTGTTACTGTTACTCACTACGATGAACACAAACTATTGCCCACCACTCACCAGTAATGACTGAATCAATAATTCACCTAAGTGTAACATGTGTTCTTACACTGGGGGCTCCTAAAAAATCGATGTTTCTACATAGTGAGTAGGATCCTATTGGTCATAAACCAATGAGCATGAAATGAGAGGGTCACTTGTGTCTTGTCTACTTCTCTTGTTTGTACCGGCATTAGTCAGACGAGAGTATAGTACAAGTAGCTTTGTGTGCCCCGTCGCCGCTCTTACTATGCTGAGCTATTTACAACAGGTAGCTGGCCAAACCATAGCCAGCCTACCAGTACTACCAGCAGCTGTGGAACGCTCAACATTCATTCACATCAACGCACGTGCATGGAGACACACCCTGACCCACTTTCTGTGGATGAGCTGTAGCACACACATTTACATGTGATAAACAGAACATGTGTATATCAATGACACATATATATGTGTGTTTATGGCTGACAAAAAAATCTCCAAGTATTGATATTTAAGAAGAATCAAAGCATTTAAAGTAAACAGTTAAACTATTAGTACACATGTGTAGAACATTTAAAGTAAACAGTTAAACTATTAGTACACATGTGTAGAACATTTAAAGTAAACAGTTAAACTATTAGTACACATGTGTAGAACATTTAAAGTAAACAGTTGAACTATTAGTACACATCTGTAGAACATTTAAAGTACACAGTTCAACTATTAGTACACATGTGTAGAGCATTTAAAGTAAACAGTTCAACTATTAGTACACATGTGCAGAGCATTTAAAGTAAACAGTTCAACTATTAGTACACATGTGTAGAGCATTTAAAGTAAACAGTTCAACTATTAGTACACATGTGCAGAGCATTTAAAGTAAACAGTTAAACTATTAGTACACATGTGTAGAACATTTAAAGTAAGCAGTTAAACTATTAGTACACATGTGTAGAATATTTAAAGTAAACAGTTCAACTATTAGTACACATGTGTAGAACATTTAAAGTAAACAGTTCAACTATTAGTACACATGTGTAGAACATTTAAAGTAAACAGTTCAACTATTAGTACACATGTGTAGAACATTTAATTACAGTTCAACTATTAGTACACATGTGTAGAACATTTAATTACAGTTCAACTATTAGTACACATGTGTAGAACATTTAAAGTAAACAGTTCAACAATTAGTCAACTTGTAGAACATTTAGCAGCAATTCAGAGGGAAAATTAATATCAATGTTTTTGAAAGGGTGATGACGAGTGACGTAGTGAAATGATGCAAAGAATTTAGGAAGAAAGTTTAAAGAGGACAGAAAGCCAGAGGTGTAGCTGGGGAAAAAAAGGAGTGGGGGCGGCATGGGAGACAGACGTCCTCGAGAGCCTTACTAGTGGGGGCGCAAAAATGGGCTTTGATTGTATTTTATTGGTTAAAAATAATGGGTTTCAGATTTGAATCTTGTCCCAAAAACTCCGGCTACGCAGTTCACATTCTATTTTATTTTCATTTTTTGTTTGTGATGGCGTCAGTGATGCACAATGATAAAATGGACACAGAATAACATGACACTATTTTACTGAGCTGTTAAGACAAGGCCTAGATGACGTAACAAACTACTACGGTGTTTTGTGAGGATATTTCCTAGCTGCTAAAACTGTGCTAAAGCGATGCGCGTGACAAACTCACATCAGTGGCGTTGGAAGGGTGGTGCGTATTTTTGGCCAGCTGCATTTGTTTTTTCTTCTCGGAATTGGGGGGGGGGGGCGACAAAAGGTTTGGTCACTGCGTCACATGCTACAGACTTAGATTGCTCACAATCTTAGTTTGATATTATATTTTTGGGCAGCTGGATTTGTTTTTTCTTCTCGGAATTGGGGGGGGGGGGCGACAAAAGGTTTGGTCACTGCGTCACATGCTACAGACTTAGATTGCTCACAATCTTATTTTGATATTTATACATTGTTTGTGTGTGCAGTAACTCGTTGCGGCGACTTAACATAGATTTCCATTGAATTCAAAGGATCAATATAATTTGTTAAAGCAGGCCTGCACAACATGCGGCACGCCAGCACCCACTTTGCGGCGAAGTAACGAACTATTCTTTATTTTTATTATTTTCTTAATAGCTCCTCCTCCCCCCTTTCCTATTTTCTGTCGCCCCGCCCAAGTTTGTCATAAAGTATTACGGCCTGCCTTACATTTTGAGTTGTTCTGGCCTGTGTTAAAGTATTAATTTTAGTTGTTTGTTGTTGTTTTTTAAAGGGCATGGGCAAGAGTTTAGATCAAATTTAAATAGCTCCATGCATTATAATCAATGGTCCCTGTTAGAACTAAGATACTTGAAATACATGTTGTATCAGCAACATAGGCAGTTGGAGGTTGGGTGGGGGGGAGGTGGCGTGTTTGGGCAGATTTGCCAACTCAAACAAATAAATTTATGAGGAAATATTCGAACTATGTTTTAATTTTATTCTAATTGTATACGTACACAAGCACAATTTGTAACGGACACATTTTAAAAAATACACTGACGAGGCCAAGATGTCCCCCCCCCTCCCCCCAACTATCCGTACCTAATGTCTGTATATGAATGATGCTGTCATGTGACCGTTAGTCTTAAGCCTACATCATATCATTTGTTACTTTATTGAATCGCATTCTCATCAGTGCTGAACTGCTCCTGATTCCTGATTATTATCAAACGAGTTTAAAACAAGTAAAAAGAAATCACTAAAGTGAAGACATCCCGTTTGGTTTCGATTTAACAAATCTGAATGTCTCCATTGTTAAATGTGTACAATGGCTCCATTTTTAAACGTGTACAATGTCTCCAA